ATTTAGGTATCAGATCTTCATAGACTCCTTACAGTACTTTAAAACAATAGCAATATTTAATCCAAGTCACTCTTATAAAGAAATCTATAACATTACCTAGTCACAAACTCAAGGTCCTATTATTTCATAATGGAATTTATGTCCAATCCTTCAATAAGTAAAGTATCATTTAACAAGAGGTATTTTTACAGGGGTTCCAGAATTTATGGAATACTCTCCAAGAAACTCATTTGATTTATTCCTAATCTCTTCTCAGAAGCAGATTTACAATACTGTGTTTATATTTCAGCAGGTAGCAATATTTGGGCAATCTTGGCTGATCACAAAAGGTAAGTAAGGTTTGCTATAATTAGTATTTGGCTGGAAATTCCAGGAGTGCTAGCTTGATTGAAAAGTAAAAACAAAAAAAACCAATGGAGCAATGGCATAACATGAAAAAGAAGAAAAAGAAAACTGAACTCATAGCATCTTTGCCTTTTTTAAAACTATAAATCAATTTCACTGTTGTTCTGAAAACTGGGAATGATCTCTTTTAATTGAATTCTTTGTACTTTTAAGACTTGAACATTTATCTATAACAGGTTACATTTTGTGCAATTTCTCTACTCTATTAAGGTTCATTCTCACTAGTTAGTGGTATTTTTTAAAAAAATAGGATTTTAATCTAATAACTATATGTTATTTAGTAATCTAATAATAATAATGATAATAATAATGATGATAATAATAATTTTAATAATAATAATAAAGTTGGAAGGGACCTTGCAGGTCATCAAGTCCAACCCCCTGCTCAGGCAGGAAACCCTATACCATTTCGGACAAATGGCTGTCCAGTCTCTTCTTAAAAACTTCCAGTGTTGGAGCATTCACCGCTTCTGGAGGCAGGTTGTTCCACTGGTTAATTGTTCTCACTGTCAGGAAGTTTCTTCTTAGTTCTAGGTTGCTTCTCTCCTTGATTAGTTTCCATCTGTTGCTTCTTGTCCTGCCTTCAGGTGCTTTGGAAAATAGCTTGACTCCCTCTTCTTTGTGGCAGCCCCTGAGATATTGGAACACTGCTATCATGTCCCCCCTCGTCCTTCTCTTCGTTAAACTAGACATACCCAATTCCAGCAACCGTTCCTTATATGTTTTACCCTCAGTCTCCTAATCATCTTTGTTGCTCTTCTCTGTACTCTTTCTAGAGTCTCAACATCTTTTTTATATCATGGTGACCAAAACTGAATGCAGTATTCCAAGTGTGGCATTGTAAAGTGGTATTAATACTTCACGTGATCTTGATTCTATCCCTCTGTTAATGCCACCTAGCACTGTGTTGGCTTTTTTGGCAGCTGCAGCACACTGCTGGCTCATATTTAAATGATTGTCCACTAGGACTCCGAGATCCCTCTCACAGTTACTACTATTGAACAAGGTACCCCCTATACTATACCTGCACATTTGGTTTTTCTTGCCTAAATGTAGAACCTTACTTTTTTCACCACTCAATTTCATTTTGTTAGATAGTGCCCAGTGTTCAAGTCTGTCTAGATCCTCCTGTATCCTAAGCCTGTCTTCTGGAATGTTGGCTATTCCTGCCAGCTTGGTGTCGTCTGCAAATTCCCCATCTATCCCCTCATCCAAATCGTTGATGAAGATGTTGAAGAGCACTGGGCCCAGAACAGAGCCCTGGGGCACCCCACTACACACTTCCCTCCATGTAGATGCGGTTCCATTGAGGACCACACGCTGAGTATGGCCGGTCAGCCAGCTACGAATCCATCTGGTGGTGATGCTGTCTAACCCACATTTTTCTATCTTATCAAATAGTAGGTTGTGATCTACTTTGTCAAATGCCTTACTGAAGTCCAAGTAAATTATATCCACAGCATTCCTCTGGTCCACTAATTTTGTCACTTGGTCAAAGAATGCAATAAGATTTGTCTAACATGATCTGTTTTTGACAAACCCATGTTGGCTTTTAGTAAAGACTTTGTTTGCCTGTAGGTGTTCACTGATTCGTTGTTTGATTATCTTTTCCAGAATCTTCCCAGGTATTGAGGTCAGGCTGATAGGTCTGTAATTTCCTGGATCCATTTTTTTCCCTTTTTTGAAGGAAAAGTATGAATAAAAAGTATGAATAAAAATTATTTCCAATATAAGTGGATCTACTATCTTGTGATAGCAATCATAGTAATCCATTTAAGGCCTTCCATTATTGAAAATATATCAACAGGAGGTAGTAATCACTCTTTTAATTGGGAGTATACAGAGGATTCAGAAGGATCAGAATAATAAAAAGGAAATTAAAGATCACAGACTGAGCATTCTCATGTAATCAGGTGGCAGAATTATCAGATAATTTTAAATGTTTATTTAATTATTAAATGTATATACATTACATTATATGTTAAATGTATATACCACCCAACTATGAGCAGTTTAAAAATTGAAAACAAGATTACTTTCAACATAAAAAACAGTCCATAAAGCAAACTTTAAAAACACATCTAAACATTTCTTTACTGAATATTAACAAAAATTAGAGATCAAATTTTCAGATGAGGCTGCCTAAGGTATTGCATACAGTATTTTTGCTATGGAACAAATATATACAGAAGCAAGTTCTTTACATTGGATCACTTCGCATTCCATTCAGAAGTATATTTATACTGGAAACATAGCAGCAAGCCTTGAATTTACATACCTTACACTTATATACATAATCAAATAGGCTTCATTCCTGTAATATCTATAATAAAGCAAGACTTATTTGTGCACACTATTACAAGATCACAGATTAATTTATTCAAAAACTCTATGGCAGGAACAAGGCACATTATAAAATGTACACTACAGTACATTTTAGACCAAACCAACCCATAATTTAAAAACAACTAAAGGAGATGGTATTATAGTAAAGAATAGTCTCCAGTCAAACCAGTATCATGCTGGTTAATGGTAATATGTGGCCACAAATGTGATAACAGAATAACAAAAATATTGATGTTACTTGCTCTTCAATTTGTGATTCTGTATTAAAGTGTAACTTCAAAGAGAAGGTTATTTGGAGCGTAACATGGAAAGGACAACATATAAGGAAACTTAGGCTGATGTTATGCTATTATGCCCATATGCTTTAAAAATAAATGCACAGCTGTATTTCATTTGCCTTCATTCAAATTATTATCTTTGAAGTTAATGTTTTTTAATATTTTTATATTTATGATTTTAATTGTAAGCTGCTCAAATTTGCTCTTCAGAGTGAGATGGGTAGAATATAAATAAAATAAATAATTTCTACTTTACACCGGAAGTTATAATAAGATCTAGTCTGCAAGAAGTACTCTTCAACCCCTGGAATGTATAAGAAACACTTAAAGAAAATCTGAGACCAGGATCACTTCCAAGAAACAGACAATGCACAGTAGACTTATTTACTAAGCTGTAAAAAAGAAAAGCTTGTACCTATGTAATGGTAACACAAGGATTTTTAGGTGACATCTTGCAGATCACTATATTTTATTATCTGTCTCAAAATGATAATATATTGAACATCAATCTTATGTATTTTAGCAAGGGCTGAATGAACATGCTTTTCATTCATACTCAAAACTGCAATTTGTTCAAAGAATAACTACTATAATTATAATTTTTTTAAAAAAATCAATGAAAAAAAATCAAAGCCTAACCCTGAAAACACAAAACCATAAAGATCAATCTTAGTGATCCTTATCTACATCAGTAATTATTACCTCAAATCATGAAATTCTTGAATTTTAAAAAACATCTAAGGTTTACATGCAGTCAGTGAAAACATATTATCCATCCTTGCCAGCTACCAAATTTATTCTTCTGAGAAATAAAGTAGCACGAATCTGCTTTGCATCTTTATAGCAACCACATACTAAGAAAAAGGTAGGTGTTATGAAATGAGTCACCAATGACTATGAGTATGGCCTCTGTTACTCTGACTAGCAAGTCGACATTGTTCCAACCTATGCCTACTTAATGAAGATATTGGAAATGGATTTTGTAGGGTCAGAAAGAACTTTACAATCCACCTGCCCTGGAAATGTGTCCCAAAGAGATGCCTCAAATTTTGACAAGAAAAAAAATCCTGAAAATTCTTGCAATGAAGAAAACGTGATAAGTTTCATGATTTATATATTTTTTAAATAAAATATTTGTTTGCTGCTAGAATAGGTTGTTAGGATGTCTGTCTAAGTTTAGAGTAAATGATAATGAAGTTCCTCAACCCATTCTACCCACCTCAATAAATTCCTTGTAAATATTCAACATTGAACTAATAGTATATATTAACAATGAAAAAGCATGTGATGAATCCAAACAAATATTCTATAATAACATTTTGCTTACAATATTATTTAAAAGAACCAATGAAAGATGAAGGTATTTAATAGACAGGACAGCTATAAAATATTTAAAAGGTTGAAAAAAGTATTAGCTTACGATATATTAGCTAAGTAAGAGCTTCATTTCCAAGAATGAGATAAACATGGCTCTCAAAAGTACTAAATATAACTGATAAAATGTAAAGGAATCTTACAGCTGGCACTTCTTTCAGTTAACATTGTATAAAGAGGTCAGCCTATATCAAAATCCTTCAGCACTGCACCTTCTCCAAAAAGTCAAAAATCTGACTTTCAATCAAATAGTGCTCTAGGCAATTAAATGATGCTTAAATATGCATTTTAAAGGGCAAAAGGCAAGTATGCATTTTATAAGGAAATACAGATAAAAAATTAAACTATGATTAAAAGCCAATACAGATTTAAATATTTGTCATCCTAGAAACGTATCCTTTCAAAGTTTCCAATATTATATAGCCTTTGAAGGAGACAAAAAGCTCATTTACTGCATAATCATAGTAAAAACTGTTCTATAAATATGAAGTGAATCAGTGATCAGTCTTATTAATATCATCATTCAGTTTTGTAACTCTCAAAGAAGAGGGCAAGGTTAAAGTATAAAGCCAAAAAATAGCCTAGCAACCATTCTCGTATAAGAATATATTGCCATGTAGGTTTAATGGAGTCTTACTGTCACACATTCTTTTAATCTTCCTTTTATAGTGTTATTACAACTCAGATCTCAAGAAATAAAATCACCAAGAGGGTGGAGAGGGAAACATTTAAATAAAAGGTACTAAAACGATAGTATCTAAACTATACCTGAGTAGATACACAGCCCTTTCAATATCACTGAGTTCTTCATCAACTGTCAGTCTTTCTATTTCTTCTGGTGTCTGTCAGATGATACAGAAATTAACATTATTGACATCTCAGCTCCATACTTCAATTTCTTAACAACTACCTCCACTTTCAAATTTGAACATTCAATACCACAAGTATATTTATTCTACAATCCCACACACACTTACCTGCAAGTAAGTCCCGATGAATTCAAAGGGGCTTACTTCTGAGTAGGCATGCATAGGATTGTACTATTCATCACCAGGACCACTTTTACTTATTCCAGAGTAAGTATGAATTCTGCCTGAAACACAAGAAATTAATGTAATTAAAAGTAATACTAATGGAAAATAAAGTGTGCTAGCTTCAAATTAGTCATATATTTGACTTCTATGAGTCAGATTACTATTTTGTCAGGTGTTATCCATTTTAATTGGCAACTGCTCTCCAAGGCCTTAAGCCTTTGCTATTTGATAAACTACAGACAGCAAGAAAAGAACCAGAGAACATTTTAAACCAGAGACAAATATGAGCTACCACTTGTCCTTCTCAATTTTTGAACCAGAATGACAGCCAGTAATTTTTAAGCCACTTTCTCTGGAACAGTCTCCTGGAAGACCATGACAGGTTTCAGATATGGTTTTAAGGCCTTTAATTTTAATTCTCACAATTTGATAGCATTCCAAAAGTGAAGTAAGAATCTGATAGCATTCCAAAAATGAGGCAATTAACATTTTAAATCAGTTACTATAATAAAAGATAAAAATTACATAATCATAAAAGTTGCTGAAATCAAAGCAGTTGCTATCTAGGATTTCTCTCCCCCACATCTCAAATGCCATTTCTGAAAGCATTATACCACTGCTGAGATTCATTATCTAGGCAAACCACCTTTCCAATTTAAAATATGCTAAGCCTGCAAAAAAAATATGCCATCACCTCACTTAAGAGGTTCGGGTCTGAAATAACTACGATTTGATTTGATTTATCTATTTTTCTTTTTTAAAAAACGGTAGATTCATGCAACATATGTAATACCTTTAAGCTCCTGCGCACCGGCCTTTCAATGATAGTAAGTTCCTGCAGATCTTCTATATAACCAAACAGATTGTTTTGGCTAAAATCCATTTTGTATGAGAAGATGATTATCGGATGCATGTACTAGGTTGATGCTCCAATCCTTGGCGAATCAGGGTTTTTAATGGGCACGCTTCACATTGCACTGAGGCCCTCAAAGGAGCAAAAAAAAACCAAACAAACAAACCCGGAGGACCTCTCTCTCGTCTAAAAGATGTACTAGTAGTGGAGGTGGGCGATAGAAGCTGCTTCGCTACAGCTGCTCCCTCCTCCTCGCAGGACGCTGAGCCCCCACCAGGCGGGAAGATCCTCAGCAAACACAATGCGGCAGCACCACAGCTCTCCGCCGATGCTCGTTCAGCTCCAAAAGCATCACTCGCTACTCAGCCCAGGTTTCGGCAAGGAAACTTTCTCTCCTGCTGCTTCACTTTCGCCTCAGTTCCTCCACCGTTTCCAGGGAGAAGGAGACACCAACATTTCCCCTCCTCCGCACACGCGCGCGCGCATACACACGCCCTCTTTCCCCTTTTGCGCCTGTTGGCCGGCGGGTGGGGGCGGGGGCGGATGGGAAGCAAAACAGAGGGGGAGGCTCCGGTCTGAGGTGGCAACTTTTCTCTCGTTTGCCCTAGTTATGAAGTCGGAGGCAGTTTTAGGCATTCAAGTCCAATTCAAAGGTGGTGGTGGTGATGATGCTGGTGGAGGAGGAGGAGGAGGCGGCGGCCGGCAAGATTCTACAGGAAGCCCAAAATAGAGATGGAGAGGACATGCGAGGCAAAGTGCAATTCCGTATCCTTAAAAAAAAACAAACCGTAAATCTTAAAAAGGGGGTTCTTTTTAAAAGGGAGGGGCGTACAGTTAGCCAGTCATCTTACGATCTGGTGGATCGAAAGAGGAAAAAAAAATGAGGAAACCAGCTTCGTTACGATGAGAGGAGCTATTCATAGATTCCTAGGAGGGGAAATTTGGCGGAGAAAGAGGAGGTCGGAGGAGAAAACTTGAGGACGAATCTTCTAGGGAAGAATTTCTGATTGAGAACCGACGTTGTATTGGGTGCGTGACAAAGATAGCTTTCTAGAGGTTTCTCTTGAGATAATTTGTGCTAAGAATAGCTCCTATATATATGTATATATATATTTATATATATATGTATATATTCTACTCCGCTTCGGCCCCAAGACGGCCCGCTGTCCTCCCCGAGCAGGCGAGGGGACAACGGGCGGGAAGGACTTGCGAGCCAATCTGTTCCTCGGCAGGCTGAGCCCCAGATAAGGCGAAGGGAGAGCAATGGGGCCACTTAGGGCCCGCTGTGGCGGTCCGGCTTCATGGGCCCTGGAAGCTTGTTCTCGCTCCGCGGCCAAAACGAGCGTGCCCTTCGGGCAGACTCCTTCCTCCCCCACCCACCCACCCCCCACGACTCGAGAGGCCCAAAGCCGCCGCGTGAAGATAGGAAAGAGTAGGAGCTGCCTTCGTCTCTGCTAGTAGTGGCTGCGCAGAGCCCGTCGCCAGGGTAACAAGCAGCTACGGGGGCCTCGGCGGGGCAAAAAGGACTGTCCGAATGTGAACGCCTTTAGGAGAGTACGAGTGCTGCTGAGGCTACTTGCCCGGGTCCGCAGCACATTTAGTCCAGCCCTGGGGTCATTTTGCCGGCCCACGCATTCATTCTACCCATGTTGTTATTAGAGAGGGTTTTTTTAAAAAAAAAAAAAATAATGTCCATTTTCCCTGTGGTTTTGACTGCTGGTAAAATCTACTCTGAACATCTGCTGCCGTTCTTCTGAGTCCTACTGTTGCGTTTGGTGGAGAGGGGGGGGCCTGCGGGGTTTTTGCTTGATGCCTTTCGGCCAGGTCCTTTATAGCTGGATTCATATACAGCCAAGCACAGCCTTGTTTAAACATAGTTTAGCTTATTAAATATAAATGACTGGATTCACACAGCATGTTAAGCCAAGGCCAATCCAGCCACATCCTGGCATGATGTAAATAAAAGAATCGTCTGTTTCTAGTCTGCCGATAAACAGCCACCCCAAAAGGTAAAAGGTTATGTTTCTTTCAAGCAGAGCTCAGTTCCTAGTAACTTGTGGACACATCCAGTTAGTTCTCCTGGCAACACATAGACATGGTTTTTCATTTCTCTGCGTTGCCATTTTCCAAAGTATTATTTCCCCCAAAGGACCTTATGGCTCTTAAGATTGCTAGTTAGGTCCCTTCCAAGTTTAGCCTGCTCTGACCTTGTTTGGTTTCTGAGTCCATCCACAGCTTAGTATCTAGAAGTTTGTCACATTGCCCCATCTTGACCATGCTTGTTTAGAAATTTGATTTATTTCAGGTGGGTTTTAATAATAAAAGTATCAACTGAAAGAGGCAAAAGTTCCATGTGGAATAACATTCCTTTCCCACAACAGTCAACCACAGCCCCATGAGGAGTCTACTGGAATGAACACAGTAACACTCCTATTCTTCAGTAACAGCATATTCTAAATGTGTAGGCAATATATAGATAGATATTGCAACTGAAAGCTGTTTTAAATCTGCCTCAGATAAAATATGAATGTGAAAAATGTGGGGGGGAAATCAGATACTGGGCCAGTATATGCCCTCATCTTACAGATGTGATCTACAGTTTGATGTAGGACCCCATCTTTTACATGATGACCTTGGTTAAAATTCTATTCAGTTAAACTTACCAGATAATCTGTTGTTTCTCATGTGTGGCTGCTATGAGAATAACATGGAGAAGATGATATTGTACTTAAAGCTGTTTGGAGTTAAAATGTAACAATAATTATATACTATATATCTTAAATATGTTATCTAATCTCATTTAAGCCTAGCCATACAATGCTGATGGTATCTTCCTGTAAAGATTGTCTGTCATTGAGCTTTCTCAGCTCAATTATTTTGAGGGCAGGAACACTGTTTCTGTATCTCTTCCTCTTGCATGTTGTTCTAGAAGAAAACTGATACAGAACCAAGATTAGGGTAGAAATTAAATAAAGTGGTTTGTTATTTGACTTCACGTTTATTCAAATTAGCCTTTTGTAATGAGAAGTCACTAAGATACAAGGAAGCAAAAACATTTCTGCAAATGATAATGAAACTATGAAGCAGCAGTTTCTTAGCAACAAACTGAAAGCTGAATTAAGTAGTATTCATATTTTTAATCAAAGATTATGAAATTGACAGTTTGGCATCTGTATTCTGGATATTTATTTATAGGAGATATGGATCAAAACTTGATATTGCTTTTAGTTGCGTTGCTTTTTAAGATACAGTAAATATTCTACTCTTTTCAAGAAAAATTGCACCCTTATGCAACATATTCACAGTATGAATTTCAGTTAAGCTAATGGAAAAAAAACTCAAAATATCTTGTTTTCTTTCCACAGCATAAATTATTTTATTCTATTTGATCAAAATATTTATATGGATTTAAATATAGTCATTCCCATATTCCAAAAGGAATAAAGCAACTTGAAAGAATATATTATATTTAGAGGATACAGTAGCTCTCTTTAATCATCCTTCTTTAGCACCTGTTTTACAAATCCTCACAATCTGGAAATTTGCATCCCAAGTTCAACACCCAGAGACAACCCACCAACCAGAAAGAGAACAGGCTAGGGGTGATGAGTGTCAAAGCCGCTGTCCTAGATGAAACCCATAGCATCCAGGAGTACATCAGTGGCACCCAAGGGTGAGGTGCTAAGAGAATACCTGAGCACAGCAGACATGAGAGGAAGATTAAGCAGAGGAAACACCAAGAGCCTGCATAGCATGTGCCATCAACAGATAGCTGAGGTGACAGATATTGGAAAGGGCTGGACTAAAAGACATGGAGACATTCATCATAGTAGCAAAATTATAGCACTAGGAATCTGTTCTATAGAAGCAGAGGTCTACCACACTAGACAGGACTCAAGGTACAGAGTATGCAGAGGCCTCAGAGACACTCCAGCACATAGAAATAGGGTATATGATACAGGCAAGAACAGCATACATTAAATGACACAACCAAGTAGCTGGCATTGTATATAGGAACATCTGTACAATGTATTGGCTAGACCCTTCCAGGTCATCTCCAGATGGAAGATTATATAGAAGGTCATGCGAAACAGGCACGCTAAGATCCTGTGGGACTTCCAGACAGACAGGCAGGAACAAGGCAAACACCAAGACCTAGTGCTAGTAGATAATAGCAATAGCCCTTAGATTTATATACCACTTCACAGTGCTTTACAGCCCTCTCTAAGTGATTTACAGAGTCAGTGTATTGACCCCCAAAATCTGGGTCCTTATTTTACCGACCTTGGAAGGATGGAAGGCTGAGTCAACCTTGAGCCCGTGAGAATCAAACTGCTGGCAGCCAGTAGTCAGCAGAATTAGCCTGCAATGCTGCATTTAGCCACTGCGCCACCATGGCATGACCAGAAGACAGCAGTGGTGATAGATGTAGCAGTGCCAAGTGACAGCAACATTAGGAAGGAGGAGTATAAGAAACTGGAGATGAATCGGAACCTGAAGGAGGAACTAGAGACACGAAAAGTGGTGGTAGAAGTACTTGGGGCTGTGCCTCCTAAGCTGGGAGAGTGGTTCCAACAGAACCCAAGAATGACATCAAAGCTCTATAACCAAAGAGCAGTGTTAGGAACAGCCAAGATATTGCACAGAACATCAGATTCCCAGGCCTCTGATAGATGCCCAGAGATTGAGGAAGATACATGCCAGAATGAGAAGGGAAATGTTTATAAATAATAAGGGTAGCACTACTGAAGGAGCAGATTTGTGACTTGGCAACTCTTCTAGACTCACAGCTCTTGCTAGAACAGCAGGTAAAGGCTACGGCAAATAGCTTTGGCTAATGTACCAGTTGCACCCCTATATGGAGCAGGATGATCTTGCTGTGATGATTCATGCTCTCATCAACACCTGCTGTAGAAAGTGACCTTGATGGAAATATGCAAGAATTGTAATCTAGGAAAAAATAGGCTGAAGCATTTTTTAAGACCACAACAAAGAGTTAACATTTGGAAGTAGTTCAGGGAAATGCTTCTCTAATTCACTGAAGTATAAGGAGCAATAGAAACAGCTCAATCAGATTTAGCCTTCTTGTGGAGTTGATTTCCTGGTCTGGTCTATCTAGTGGGGCTTATATCTGGTAGACTAATGTA